CTTTGACACTACGGTCGCTTCTAAGGCCTGGAGAAAATAGTGAAAAATCCAAAGTTTGAGTGCCAACGTGGTCGGAGGGTCCTGGCCGACCCGCCTGCCGAGTTTCAAGATGTTACTCCTTTTTTGAAATTTTGACACCCATGCCCATCCGGACCAGTCCTGCTTTGACACTACGGTCGCCCCACACAAACAATGTATTTCACTTATAATAGCACTCATTGTACACGTTTAAACATTTCTTGGAAAAAATAAATAGTTAAGAGAATGTTGGTGATGGTCCCCAGAAAAGAGAAATTAGTGCAAATTTTCGCACAGTGCCGCGTAGCGAATATAGACAGTTTGGACAAATAACAGCGGCTGAATAATTCAACATAATGTTCCATACACTACTAACAATCAAAAAATGGGGAACGGTCATTTTAACTTTTTCGGAACTTGTTTTTATCAACGACGGCCCACGAATACTCCATATCTGGGAGAATTCCTTTCACAAAATTTCACAAAACAGCTTTACTACCAGCTTGCATGCTATTTACATAGGTCTGGCTCCTTGTAGTTTTTCCTAAGATGTATCTAATTGTCTGTTTAGGGGTCATCATAACGCTGCCAGCGTCCTATTGCGTTCATTCCCTTCCATTCAGAACTGTACGACTTCCTTGCAGCGATTGCTCCCTGCGCCTGTCACGTCAAGTCGCCCATTGCTTATTATCCCAGAGAGGAATATGAAGAGTTCTTTTCACATGGTGTAGGTAGGTTATATTTAGGTTGCATTGAGCAGCACGTGCAAAGGTAAATTGTCTTTGCAGCAACAGAAAATCCAATAGTGCTCCGTCACACGAGTGAGCTTTAGTTTCTGTTAACTGCCACGCCTAATAAACAACGGTGTAGTCGGCATGTCACAATCATTTATTCAGAATGTCGTCCACAGTGACGGAAAAGAAGTCGACTGCATTGGCACGTCATATTATGCCTGCATGTAAGATGCAATGATTTAAAGGAGGCAGCTCACCTGTGGGATTGGTGCCATTGTGGACGAGGTATTGAAGAGAGTAAAATTATGCATCTTCCTTTCCTTCCCACAACAACAACCCCCACCTACACTTCCCTCCCCTCCCCTTGCCATTGGTGAAACAATGTTGCACTGTTAGTAAACCTGCCAGGGCTTTAACTCAGTTATTCCACAATTCATATTGAGACTAACATATCTATTCTGTTTTTTTTGTTGTTTTTTTTTGGGGGGGGGGGGGGGGGGTGTTGCTTTGGTTTGTTTGTTTGTTTGTTTGTTTGTTGTTTAACGCCGCTCACAGCAATATTCCAGCTATATAACGGTGGTCTGTGAATAAGAGCAATGACCAATAGAGGTATCCAGCGCTATAGGTCAGCACTGTGTACTGGGTAAAGTGACACACAGTGAGCCAGCTCACACATCCCGACCACCTGGCTACAGTGGGCTGACAACATGGGTTCTATGGGCCTGATATACAGCAGGCACACTGGGATGATTGGATAGTCACAGAAAGCAAGGCACGCCTTTCTGGGTACCTTTCATTTGGTTTTATTAAAACCCTGCAACTGTCATGGAGGACAACAATGCACTGGTGCTGCATTTGGTATATGATTTCATGTGCACTCTTTGTTTTGTCCAACAGTTTATGTCACTGAAAAAGTTACAAGTTGAACTTGGATCTGATGTGGTTCTCTTCATAATGTAAATAGTTGTAGTCAGCCTCAGTGTCTCCTGGTAGCCTCAGGGTTAAAGTGTTCACTTGTCATGCCAGGTACTGGTTCAATTCCCGAAATGAGTATAATGTGTGAAATGTGTGAAGCCCATTTCTGGTGTCTTCTGCCATAATGTTAATGTCAAAAGTCACATTAAACCATGCAGTCACTCACTCACTGAGAATACAGTTATACTTACACAAATACCACATTAATTTCACCTTGTCAAGCAAACTAATTATACATCTTTCTTTTAAAACTTATGTCAAGGGGTTTAGAGCTACTCAGATTAACATTACGAGACAATGGTCACCAGTCACAGGGTCAAGAGCTCCTGAAGAGTATAATACTAGTTAAATGTTCGGGGGTGCTGAGTAAACCTTGTGGGTTCAGTGATAATTTGTTGAAGACTAAAAGTGACCTACAAATATTCTAGTCATTTAAGGATACTAAGGTAATCAATCTATATTGATATTTCCTGCCACTATTGAATCAATACCTATGTCAATTGCATTACCTATCAATCAAATCAATCAAGCCCCAGTATTGACAACTTTAAGTATGGTAAAAGGCGACTAACGGGATCGGGTGGTCAGGCTCGCTGACTTGGTTGTGCATGTCATCGGTCCCAATTGCATGGATCGATGCTCATGATATCAATCACTGGATTGTCTGGTCCAGATTTGATTATTTACAGACCGCCGTCATATAGCTGGAATATTGCTGAGTGCGGCGTTAACCAACCAACCAACCAACCAAACTTTAAGTATGTTACAACTGTTGTAGCCATTAATATGTGCATATGTATCCCAGATAACATAATGACACAGGCTAGGGTGTGAGGTCTGATTATTTATTTTCTGTCGTGATAAACCGACACCCTGGAACAATGAATACAATAATAAACATACAATTATATCTAGTACATCAAAACCCAAGCAGATTAAATAATAATCTACTACACTTGTAGCTATACATGATATATCATTTATAACATTTCACAATTATAAGCTGAGATATGTAAGTTTAGTGGATTTACACAATCAATATATATATGGTACAATAAATATAATATTATGTAACAATGCAAGCAATATATAAGTAGATCCATATATATATATATATATATATATATATACCCGGTGAATCCCACTGGGGTGTATTTGGGTGGTCACAATCCCTCGTGAAAACCTGTTCATGATTTTAAATACATCATGAAGGTATGTTTATCTACACACATGAACATTACATGTAAACTATCATCAAATTAATACAAAATACAAGTTACTGAAATCACAAATGTCCTAGATTAACACAGACACACATATAGTGAAATGAAATATATCTAGTATACATACACTCACCATACACACTAATACTAGTAAATAAGACATGTTTAAATATAATTTAGGATCTATATAGACATTTAGTAAACTAAAGTGATTTTCATAATTATACTGGCATAAAATACACTTATAACTTTAACTACTAACCTTTATATAAGTATATGCTTTCTTCCAGTCCAGTGCACTGTGAAGTATCGATGCAAAGTGCAGGGTGAAAACAAATGGGTTTGAAAGTGGGACACAGAGATTTAAAACTAGCCAATCCAGAGGACGCCTGGGCTTACACTCTGATTGACCACCAAGCAGTTGACTGACCCACTAAGAAAAACATGAAACTCAGAGTATGCGAAGTAGGTGTCAAGATAGTTTTTTTAATATCAGAATTATTGATCATTTATCATATCTGTATCAGAATGCATGAGCTGGTGGCATGTGGTCCTGTGCACAGCGCACAGGTCACAAATCATGTCAAGTTGAGCAACACTGGTCGATGGGAGTAGTTGGATCGACGTTGTTCAGCAGCTAGGCTGTGAATGGGTACCTGGTAGGATGAGATGTCAATGTGACTTTTTACCTTCTAGTACCTCAAGGCAGTTTGGGTTGTATACTCCCCAGGGAGCTAAGAATGATTGTTAAGTGCACACTGATCCATTGAACGGGGTAATAAGTGTACTTTGAACAACCACATAGTGGATGGAAAACAAATGCACTTGTGTTGTATGAAATGTTGAGACAGTATAGATTCTCAAACGTTAAAAAAAATAATGCCAAACAGGCATAATAAAGAAAGTAAAATGACAGGTTTTCAGATCATCTGTATATAATGTGCATGTTAACCTCTCACACAAGACATGTCAGCACAACAGAGGTGCCCCCACAAGGCTTTTGTTCAGTGACCATGACAAAATGAAGTTCAGAATAAATAATCACAATAAATAAAGATATGCACTGAAAGTCAAGTCCCAGTTTAGATGATTGATGGCAGTAATGCCCTTCTGAGATCATAATTATGTTGACAAAATATAATATAATTGTTCATACAGAATATGCCTGTTTCGTGTGGTTGAACTGTTGAACAGTTTGTTACTCTAAGACCATCTTTCTGCTTTTATTTTGATATGGTTTCTATTTTCTTACTGATACAAAATTGTGTTTTCAGAAATGGATGTAATTACTTTGGCTGCTCTGAAAAGAAACGTTTGAGGAGCTGACCATCTTTACAGATGAGTATGAGTATGGCTTTTTTTCCAATTTGGGTTTTCATTTTGTATTTTGTAAAGCCATCTGCAACCTTCACTTGCCATTGGGCTTGTCTGTCATTTCTGCTTTGATGTTGCATTTCCTCCAGTTTGCTGAAAGCAATAGGGTGTATCTCCGCTTTGTCCAGAGCTAGCTGTGCCAGTCTGTCTGCTGTTTCATTCCCATGAATATCTGTGGGAGACAAGGATAATTTACAGTTCAAACATCTGGTATAGGCACCACTAAACACAGAGTAATAAGTTTGTAGTTTAAGCTTGTTTTAACAATTGCTGAATGTCACTTTGCTGAACCATTGTGCATGACATACCCCTCTTCTCACCGGTATTCGCCCACTTCACCTAATTTACCAGTTGGAGACAAACAAGTAATTAGGTGCTCTGTGCTAGACTGGGTTCATCAATCAGGTGATGTGGGTATGGAAAAGACCCCTCCTGAATTCTCAAGGGGTTACCTGGGGGCCCAATAGTAGAACAAAACATGGGTGATAGTGATACTCACATCGGCCCTGAGTCAGCCCTCCTGAATCAGCCTTGTCTGTAGTGGTTGACGGTTTGCCCCCATTTTGTTTCTAGGTTTGTCAGCACCATACCCCTGCTCGTGGGTTTCACCAAAGTGGTAAACGTGTGAGACCTGCATCACTTCGGGCTTCCCCCCACATTAAGCTGACACGTCGCGATATAACTGGAATACTGCTAAAAGTGGCATTAAACCAACTCACTCACTGTATTGCTCTTGTCTTGTATTAACATTTCACAATTATTTGTGTTTGCAAGTGACTATGTAAGTTTAATTTCATTTTTTGCAGTACCAAGGTAAACAAAATTAGATAAGGTGCAATAAAGTAGCAGTTTTGGCTTGGTGAGGTTTTGCTGAGGTGCCGTTTTAACTGTAACCGTTACAGACAACATTCAAAGAGGGGCAGTATGTAATTTTAAATAATACAGAAGTGAAATAGAATTAACCACAGACAAGGAGACTTTAACAATAATGTTACTTTACTCCCTTGAATAACGACGCTACATGCATAGAATCATTTTTTTCATTCAGTTGATAGTTACAGTTCATGTACATACCTTCTTTAGATAATCTATATCAAGTTTTAGAAAGAGTAGTTGGGGAGACACTCGACTGGCTGAATGAGACACGGAAAAACTCTTCACTGCTCGTGCCGCAATAGGAGGCGCCAAGAGCACTTGCCGGCACCGGAAGTAAAGTGGTCAGCGTCTGTTTACAACTGTGGCTGCACAGTGACAGCAATGTCTACACTCAAGGTAAGTATTCCCATTACTCAGCTGCCATTGAAAAATGTAATCAGATGTAGCAAATACAGTTAAATAGGTAACATAAAGTTGGATTACTGTCTGCGATCACCATGCAGCTGGACAGCTCTTTCCAGAAGTACTTGAATGTCACATGTCTCCTTCCCACACACATTCGTATTTACTTTTATATGATCGTATTTAGGGAATATTGCTCTATAGCTGAAACAATACCGGCGCAACATTAAATTTGAACTACCCCGTATTCGACCCAATAAGCGCCCAGGGCGCTTAAAATAAAGACAGAAGGGGTGGGCGCTTATTGGGACCAATTCAGAGTCAAATTGGCGTAAATTCATCAGTAAGCCTATCGATATTCTTCTGGTGCTGGGGGGCTAGGGAGATAAACTGTTACTTACATTTTACTGGTGAACATCTCCTCATTAACCGACTACAAAAGATTCTTGACCGTATGAAAAAAACAGGTGAGTAAATCTTACTTGGGCATCGGGGAAAACGGGGGGGGGCTTATTGGGACATGGGCGCTTATTGGGTCGAATACGGTAACTGTCTTGAACTGTCAATTTCAGGGCAACCACGACGTTTCGGATCAAATTAACAAATTTCAACTGGTCCCGGTTTATATAAAATACTCATTGAATTACTGCAATTGTGTATTCATCATTAGTCATAATAGTTTTTAATTGAAGCTAATCATGGCTGGATATTTATATCATCCTCTGCATTTGATATGAACTTCAATACTGTCCTCACTTAATAAGCTCAGGTTGCCACCATCAGTGTAAATTTATGTCATAGGTATTGATACTTCCTACACAAGTCATTTGTCAGTCAGTCAGTCAGTCAGTAAGGGAATTGTTTTTGTATCCAAATCGTGTGTGATTCTTGTCTGTATGATAAATCAGGCTTTTATTCACAGTGGATGCCATGAGAGCAATCCCAAGAGTTAAAAATTCTGTGGCACAGTTAAAATTGCAAAGACACACTTGGAAATAACAGTTTTTATCAGCAATGTTTATCATTTAAAGCAAGGGGTGAATGTATTTTCACTCAGATAGGCCTGACAAACACATGGAATATGATGGGCATATCCTCGTTTCATGCACAGTGGGATTATTAAAATGGACAAGGGGATTCAGAAATATTAGAATGGTCTGTTTAGACTAATGACCAGACACATATGGGCCTTTGTTTAGACTAATGACCAGACACATATGGGCCTTTGTTTAGACTAATGACCAGACATATATAGGCCTTTGTTTAGACTAATGACCAGACACATAGAGGCCTTTGTTTAGGTGAGGTGAGGTGAAATTGGGTTTAACGTCGCGTCCAAGATTATTGCACTTATATAGCGACGTGCATGCACGTGTATGTGTGTGTGTGGCTGCTTGTACTAGTCCGGACTGATGCCGATTTATAGTGCTAGCTCACTGAGATACCATGCCGCAGTTTAACATGAATACCCCACTCAGACACAGTATACTGACTCCGAGCCGACCAGTCCTTGTTTTAGCCCCTTAATGCCGAGCGCCAGACAGGGTAACAACAAGTACAATCTTTTAACGTCTTTTTGTATGACGCGGCCCGGGATCGAACCCTGGACCTTCCGCTCTCCGGGCGGACGCTCTACCACAAGACCACGGAGGCGGTCCCTTTGTTTAGACTAATGACCAGACACATAGAGGCCTTTGTTAAGACTAATGACCAGACACATATAGGCCTTTGTTTAGACTAATGACCAGACACACATAGGCCTTTGTTTAGACTAATGACCAGACACATAGAGGCCTTTGGTTAGACTAATGACCAGACACATAGAGGCCTTGGGTTAGACTAATGTCCAGACACACATAGGCCTTTGTTTAGACTAATGACCAGACACATAGAGGCCTTTGTTTAGACTAATGACCAGACACATAGAGGCCTTTGTTTAGACTAATGACCAGACACACATAGGCCTTTGTTTAGACTAATGACCAGACACACATAGGCCTTTGTTTAGACTAATGACCAGACACATATAGGCCTATGTTTAGACTAATGACCAGACACATAGAGGCCATGGTTTAGACTAATGACCAGACACATATAGGCCTTTGGTTAGACTAATGACCAGACACATAGAGGCCTTTGTTTACACTAATGACCAGACGCATATAGGCCTTTGTTTAGACTAATGACCAGACACATATAGGCCTTTGTTTAGACTAATGACCAGACACATAGAGGCCTTTGTTTAGACTAATGACCAGACACATATAGGCCTTTGTTTAGACTAATGACCAGACACATATAGGCCTTTGTTTAGACTAATGACCAGACACATATGGGCCTTTGTTTAGACTAATGACCAGACACATATAGGCCTTTGTTTAGACTAATGACCAGACACATATAGGCCTTTGTTTAGACTAATGACCAGACACATATGGGCCTTTGTTTAGACTAATGACCAGACACATAGAGGCCTTTGTTTAGACTAATGACCAGACACATATAGGCCTTTGTTTAGACTAATGACCAGACACATATAGGCCTTTGTTTAGACTAATGACCAGACACATATGGGCCTTTGTTTAGACTAATGACCAGACACATATAGGCCTTTGTTTAGACTAATGACCAGACACATATAGGCCTTTGTTTAGACTAATGACCAGACACATATGGGCCTTTGTTTAGACTAATGACCAGACACATATAGGCCTTTGTTTAGACTAATGACCAGACACATATGGGCCTTTGTTTAGACTAATGACCAGACACATAGAGGCCTTGGGTTAGACTAATGACCAGACACACATAGGCCTTTGTTTAGACTAATGACCAGACACATAGAGGCCTTTGTTTAGACTAATGACCAGACACATAGAGGCCTTTGTTTAGACTAATGACCAGACACACATAGGCCTTTGTTTAGACTAATGACCAGACACATAGAGGCCTTGGGTTAGACTAATGACCAGACACACATAGGCCTTTGTTTAGACTAATGACCAGACACATAGAGGCCTTTGTTTAGACTAATGACCAGACACATAGAGGCCTTTGTTTAGACTAATGACCAGACACACATAGGCCTTTGTTTAGACTAATGACCAGACACATAGAGGCCTTTGTTTAGACTAATGACCAGACACACATAGGCCTTTGTTTAGACTAATGACCAGACACATAGAGGCCTTTGTTTAGACTAATGACCAGACACATATAGGCCTTTGTTTAGACTAATGACCAGACACATAGAGGCCTATGTTTAGGCTAATGGCCAGACACATATAGGCCTTTGTTTAGGCTAATGACCAGACACATAGAGGCCTATGTTTAGACTAATGACCAGACACATAGAGGCCATGGTTTAGACTAATGACCAGACACACATAGGCCTTTGTTTAGACTAATGACCAGACACATATAGGCCTTTGTTTAGACTAATGACCAGACACATATGGGCCTTTGTTTAGACTAATGACCAGACACATAGAGGCCTTTGTTCAGACTAATGACCAGACACATAGAGGCCTTTGTTCAGACTAATGACCAGACACATATAGGCCATATTTCCACAAAGGATCGAAAGAAGAATGAGAAATGCATAGTGTGAGATAGGATAAGTTTTATGGATATACAATTTTTTGTAAAATTTACAACTTTGTTGCAGCGGAGGAACATGGACCACTGCCACACCACGACGCACAGCAGAGTACCCGGCACACCTGGAGCAGTCGCCGCTGTGGCACTCGAGGGTTGCTGTGAGCACTCTAGGTGAGGACCCGTGAAGATTCCGGGGTAGAATAGGTCTTCAGCAACCCATGCTTGTCGTAAAAGGCGACTAACGGGATCGGGTGGTCAGGCTCGCTGACTTGGTTGATGCATGTCATCGATCCAAATTGCGTGGATCGATGCTCATGACATTAATCACTGGATTGTCTGGTCCAGACTCAATTATTTACAGACTGCCGTCATATAGCTGGAATATTGCTGAGTGGGGCATTAAACAACAAACCAACAACCAACAACTCTAGGTAAGACACTACTAGTTTGGGTGATTAGTTTTTTTAGAAGCTTCAAACGCTTGTTTAGGCCTGTTTCCACTAAGAATTGAAAGAAGAATAAGAAATGCATAAAAAACCATCACAAATCACCCAAAGCGGATATAATGATAATAAATGGAAGAGCTTTGACCATTTTGCGACCTATGAAGAGTTTAAGTGGCCATGTCCACATTCCCACAAGTAGCAGAACTTCTGTGCCACCTTCATAGTATGAGGAATCTCAAGGGTTCAGTATAAAGTACCTTTCTTGCAGTGATTAGTTCAGTGTGAGTGTGAGTGTGAGAGAGAGTTATTGTGTTGTGGACATTTCAGTCTGCATGTATTTGCAATATTTACATATTTGTTTGTGACAGACCGAGATAGCTCATTCTTCAATACAGACAACAGAAATATACGGAAATTTCACACTTTCGATGAATATACAGAAATTTCACACTTTCAATGAAAAAAGACTATGTTGTACTAAAATATAAGAATTAGTAAAGTGAACTTGTAACTAGAGAGATGGGTGAATCTGCTCAGGTCATTCATATTCTTCATGGGATTCATGGCCCATGTCAAAAGTACACAGATAAGGTCACCTGAGTTTGGTTGTTAGCTATCTATAAATGTGACTTTGTCGGACATTCCCCTGGGGTGTAAATTTAATGTATTCCAGCTAGCACTGACATATGTAGACAAAAACCACAAACTTGTGTTTTATCAAAGATGTTTAACTTTGCTTAATTAGCATACAAACAGGGAATCATGTGGATGGATTATAAAATATCAAAAGTAGGGTCGTGATAGTATATCATAATTGCTGAATCTGATTTTGTGTAGCAGAACCTATAGACAAATAAGAAAAATATGCACAAGGCAAATCTGTAATTTATGTATTGTATTTACATGTAGTTTCTCAGACAAGAGTGAAAATGGATATGACTTCAATAATTTTCCTATCTAACATGAATACCACAATACAAAAGAGTTAAAATTATGTTTATTTCAGCAATGTATTACAAAATGTGTTTCTGTATTAAATATAAAAGTTACTACAATCATACACAGAACATGGTAGTTTATTCATGTTTCATAAAAGAAGGTGGTCATGGATCAATTCCATACATGGTTGGGGGGATGGGTGGCCCAGTCGTCTAAGGCGCCACGATTCGCTGTGCAGAGTTGCGTCCCTTGGGCACGCCAGAAACCTATGATTGTGGGTTCGAATCCTTGTTCGCCCCGATTATGTTTCTAGGTTTGTCAGCACCATACCCGTGCTCGTGGGTTTCTCCGAAGTGGTAAACGTCTGAGACCTGCATCACTTCGGGCTTTACTCCCACATTAAGCTGACACGCTGCAATATAACTGGAATACTTTTTTAAGCGACGTTAAACCCAACTCACTCACTCACCCATACATGGTTGAGGCTGTCTAGAAAATATCACCCTAAAACATATTTTCAACTGTAAAAAATGAACAAATCTTTAAAGCTCAAAGCCATTAATGGTCAGTTGTTTGCCTTCCAGGTACAATCAGATCATTGCAGAGCTTTCTACATTTATGGAATATGGTTCTGACATTCATAACATGATGTGATCGTGAGAAATTCCTCAAACTTACAAACACAAATGTTTGGGCTTCTACTACCTCCAACAAGCATCTATGTTATAACCTGGTGACATAAGTAAACATGGAAAGGAATCCAACACATTATTCAAATGTGGACAGAAAGCATGAAATTCAGGCCAGAATTAAGCCAGGGATACATTAAGCAGCTTTAAAGTTCTCATACATGTGAGGCTAGGTAATAAACTTTACCAAAAAGTAGGAAGTAAAGGGGTTGATTTGGGCCAGCAATATCAAACACTGACCAGGTGAGCCACATCGACTGTCAAAGCCAAGGAAGGGAGATGACCCCTCAAGTAGAAGGAAGCTCTTTGAAACCACAACATGCGAGGAAATTACACGACTATCTATTGATTCATTTAGTTAAGACTTTGAAATACTCTCAGGAACTCACAAATATGTTCTGTTTAAATGCTTTTCGGTGGCAATACATGCCAATATCAGTTATTTGTCAGTTTGACGGAAAGAAATTAAAAATTCCATCTAAACTATCCCGACTCAAAACTGCTTGTCGAACAACTGATTCTGATTTGTTGTTGTAGAACCTGTATCCACAGGTGTTTGCATCGTGTTTTCTCTAAACCCCATCAAGCTTGAATAATAATTACTTAGTTTCGTGATAATTAACACAATTGGTAAAATTGTTTCATTAATTGTGTAATAAAATCCAACATAACATACAGTGAGAATGTTGTTAGTAAATATTAATCCATATTTTATTAATGATTCTGTGAAATAATGTGACACTATTCATTTTACCGTATTTTCTTGTGTATAGTGTGCACGTTTTTTCCACAGCTGTGTAGAAGGGGGTGCGCATTATACATGCCATAATGAGTTTTAATTTTTTTTCGTCCAAAATACTGAGTCCGCTAGAGGGGTGTGCGCACTATACTCAAGAAAATATGCTATAAGTCTTTGACTGGCATTGTATTCTTGCACAATCCTGTTTTGGTGCCATGTATGTTTTCCTTGTAAAAGGAGATAACTCGGATTCAAAACTGTATCCTTGGGAGGAAAATATTTGTTATTCTGTTCAAAATGGGAGTAATTTTATGTTCTTATGTTACCAAGTTCTGAGGAATTTTAAGACTGTAACTTTCATCATGATTCCTCTTACTCTTCCCTGGTCCTGTTCTCAGTGTAACACAAGTCACCTCCACACAGCCAGAACATTAGTACTACTGTAACAGGATGAACTGGGAAATGGGGGAACTTGTGCTGATGTGTGCTGCAGACCCGTGCTTCCCGTAAATGGCGACTATGCTTGTGGTAAGAGGCGACTAACGCAATCGGGTGGTCAGGCTCACTGTCTTGGTCAGCGTAACCCACTTGCGTGGATTGATGCTCATGATGTCAATCACTGGATTGTCTGGTCCAGACTTGATTATTTACTGGCGGCCATCATATAGCTGGAATATTGCTGAGTGCGGCAATACATTCTACTCCCTCACTCATACATTCTACTCCCTCACTCATACAGACATTCTACTTCCTCACTCATACAGATATTCTATTCACTCATACAGACGTTCTACCTCCTCACTCATACAAACATTCTATTCACTCATACAGACATTCTACTCACTCATACAGACATTCTGCTAACTCACTCATACAGACATTCTACTCACTCATACAGACATTCTACCTCCTCACTCATACAGACATTCTATTCACTCATACAGACATTCTACTTCCTCACTTATACAGACATTCTACTTCCTCACTTATACAGACATTCTACTTCCTCACTCATACAGACATTCTATTCACTCATACTCACAATCTACCTCCTCACTCATACAGACATTCTACTCACTCATACAGACATTCTGCTAACTCATACAGACATTCTGCTACCTCACTCATACAGACATTCTATTCACTCATACAGACGTTCTACCTCCTCACTCATACAGACATTCTATTCACTCATACAGACATTCTACTAACTCATACAGACATTCTGCTAACTCACTCATACAGACATTCTATTCACTCATACAGACATTCTACTTCCTCCCTTATACAGACATTCTACTTCCTCACTCATACAGATATTCTATTCACTCATACAGACATTCTATTCACTCATACAGACGTTCTACCTCCTCACTCATACAGACATTCTGTTAACTCATACAGACATTCTATTCACTCATACAGACGTTCTACCTCCTCACTCATACAGACATTCAACTCACTCAAACAGACATTCTGCTAACTCACTCATACAGACATTCTACTCACTCATACAGACATTCTGTTAACTCATACAGACATTCTGCTACCTCACTCATACAGACATTCTGCTACCTCACTCATACAGACATTCTATTCACTCATACAGACGTTCTACCTCCTCACTCATACAGACATTCTATTCACTCATACAGACATTCTACTCACTCATACAGACATTCTGCTACCTCACTCATACAGACATTCTATTCACTCATACAGACGTTCTACCTCCTCACTCATACAGACATTCTATTCACTCATACAGACATTCTACTCACTCATACAGACATTCTACTCACTCATACAGACATTCTACTCACTCATACAGACATTCTACTTCCTCACTTATACAGACATTCTACTTCCTCATACAGACATTCTACACACTCATAGAGACATTCTACTTCCTCATACAGACATTCTACACACTCATACAGACATTCTACCTCCTCACTCATACAGACATTCTACACACTCATACAGACATTCTACACACTCATACAGACATTCTACCTCCTCACTCATACAGACATTCTACTTCCTTATACAGACATTCTACTCACTCATACAGAGATTCTACTCTCTCACTCATACATTCTACTCACTCATACAGACATTCTACTTCCTCATGCATACAGACATTCTATTCACTCATACAGACATTCTACTACCTCACTTATACAGACATTCTACTTCCTCACTTATACAGACATTCTACCTCCTCACTCATACAGACGACCGCCTCCGTGGTCTTGTGGTAGAGCGTCCGCCCGGAGAGCGGAAGGTCCAGGGTTCGATCCCGGGCCGCGTCATACAAAAAGACGTTAAAAGATTGTACTTGTTGTTACCCTGTCAGGCGCTCGGCATTAAGGGGCTAAAACAAGGACTGGTCGGCTCGGAGTCAGTATACTGTGTCTGAGTGGGGTATTCATGTTAAACTGCGGCATGGTATCTCAGTGAGCTAGCACTATAAATCGGCATCAGTCCGGACTAGTACAAGCAGCCACACACACACATACACGTGCATGCACGTCGCTATATAAGTGCAATAATCTTGGACGCGACGTTAAACCCAATTTCACATCACCTCATACAGACATTCTACCTCCTCACTCATACAGACATTCTACCTCCTCACTCATACAGACATTCTACTCACTCATACAGACATTCTATTCACTCATACAGACATTCTACTACCTCACTTATACAGACATTCTACCTCCTCACTCATACAGACATTCTATTCACTCATACAGACATTCTACTCACTCATACAGACATTCTACTCACTCATACAGACATTCTATTCACTCATACAGACATTCTACCTCCTCACTCATACAGACATTCTATTCACTCATACAGACATTCTATTCACTCATACAGACATTCTATTCACTCATACAGACATTCTACTACCTCACTTATACAGACATTCTACTTCCTCACTTATACAGACATTCTACCTCCTCACTCATACAGACATTCTACCTCCTCACTCATACAGACATTCTACCTCCTCACTCATACAGACATTCTACTCACTCATACAGACATTCTATTCACTCATACAGACATTCTACTACCTCACTTATACAGACATTCTACCTCCTCACTCATACAGACATTCTATTCACTCATACAGACATTCTACTCACTCATACAGACATTCTACTCACTCATACAGACATTCTATTCACTCATACAGACATTCTACCTCCTCACTCATACAGACATTCTATTCACTCATACAGACATTCTATTCACTCATACAGACATTCTATTCACTCATACAGACATTCTACTACCTCACTTATACAGACATTCTACTTCCTCACTCCTACAGACATTTTACCTCCTCACTCATACAGACATTCTACCTCCTCACTCATACAGACATTCTACCTCCTCACTCATACAGACATTCTACTCACTCATACAGACATTCTATTCACTCATACAGACATTCTACTACCTCACTTATACAGACATTCTACCTCCTCACTCATACAGACATTCTACTCACTCATACAGACATTCTACTCACTCATACAGACATTCTATTCACTCATACAGACATTCTACCTCCTCACTCATACAGACATTCTATTCACTCATACAGACATTCTATTCACTCATACAGACATTCTATTCACTCATACAGACATTCTACTACCTCACTTATACAGACATTCTACTTCCTCACTTATACAGACATTCTACTTCCTCACTCCTACAGACATTTTACCTCCTCACTCATACAGACATTCTACCTCCTCACTCATACAGACATTCTACTCACTCATACAGACATTCTACTCACTCATACAGACATACAGACATTCTACTCACTCATACAGACATTCTGCTAACTCACTCAATCAGACATTCTACTCTCTCATACAGACATTCTACTACCTCACGCATACAGACATTCTATTCACTCATACAGACATTCTACTCTCTCACTCATACATTCTACTCACTCATACAGACATTCTACTTCCTCATGCATACAGACATTCTACTTCCTCACTCCTACAGACATTTTACCTCCTCACTCATACAGACATTCTACCTCCTCACTCATACAGACATTCTACTCACTCATACAGACATTCTACTCACTCATACAGACATTCTACTCACTCATACAGACATACAGACATTCTGCTAACTCACTCAATCAGACATTCTACTCTCTCATACAGACATTCTACTACCTCACGCATACAGACATTCTATTCACTCATACAGACATTCTACCTCCTCACTTATACAGACATTGTACTTCCTCACTTATACAGACATTGTACTTCCTCACTTATGCCTGTCTACTTCCTCACTCATGCAGATGTTCAAATTCCCTTGCCACACAATCAGTACCTGATCGACCTTTACCGGGTGACACTATTCTTCAATGGAAAACATGGAGTCATCTCCTGTTGAAACACAGCTGGTCAGACAGTGGCCAGACAGAGATCCACCTTCTTGTGTCTGCACATTGGGACTCAGTGGCTGGCCAGAGGTTACCATGGATGAAAACTTTGAATTCCTGCAAATACCCAGCCTCTATTACATCATTGCCCTAATCCTGTATTTTGGCTGTCGTCACACAAAAATATCTTCCGAGTTGTAACAGTCGTCTTCACTCTCAGCTATCCATAGTCGTATGGATAATCATCTTCTACTGCCCAATGCCCTTGTGCATGAACAAGGCGGGATTCTCAGCTTTCCTGTGTGTGCTGGCATATTTTCTAGCACACTTTCGTGGTTTGTAATACTATCATGTTTATAGATACTTAGTATCTTGTTATTTTGGTGGGGGGCGGTCGGGTAGCCTAGTGGTTAAAGCGTTCGCTCGTCACGCCCAAGACCGGGGTTCGATTCCCGACATCGGTACAATGTGTGAAGCCAATTTCTGGTGTCCCCCCGCCATGATATCGCTGGAATATTGCTAAAAGCGGCGTAAAACCCC